TAGCTATCCTCTGGCTAAACTGTTCGCTAGTTCTCTGGAAGAAGGGTTGGTACCAGAGGATTGGAAATGCGGGATAATAGCCCCCATATTCAAAGGAGGTATCAGAACGTGTGCATCTAACTACAGACCTGTCACTCTTCTCCCAGTAATATCAAAAGTAATGGAACGAATTATAGCAGAAGCCCTGAAATCGCACCTTGAAATTCACTCCTTGTTGAGCGATAAACAACACGGATTTCGACAGAATCGTTCTTGTTTATCCAATCTCCTCGTGACACTCGATGACTGGACACGAGCAGTCGATGCGGGAGTTACTGTACATGCCTGTTACTTGGATATATCCAAAGCCTTTGATCGAGTCGATCACAGTATCCTTCTTCGGAAACTTGAAATGTATGGCGTGACGGGAAATCTGTTGAGCTGGCTGAAAGACTATTTGAGTGACCGTTCGGTCCAAGTTCGTGTCGATGGAGCGTTTTCCGATAAAATTGCCGCCACAAGTGGTGTCCCTCAGGGTTCGGTTCTTGGTCCAATTTTGTTCCTGGTATACATGAATGACCTGCCGAAACTTCTGCAGTGCAAAACCGTACTTTTTGCTGATGACATAAAAATCTGGTCTGAAATTCATGGAAAGGCTGATTGTGATGCGCTACAGCAAGATCTGCAAAGAATCGACGAATGGTCCATCCAAAACCGGCTGCCGCTGAATTTCCAGAAATGCAAACTCATAAATCTGGGGAAGAGCTACCACTTCCCATACAAACTGGGATCCAATGAACTGGAATGGGTGGCTGAGGAAAAAGACCTCGGCGTCTGGATTTCTAGCAACCTGAAGCCGAGTAAGCACTGTCTATCAGTATATCGCAAGACCTCGGCACTGCTCGGGATGCTTAGGGGAATATTTTATCGTTTTACGGCTGAAATTCTCCCTATTATCATGAACACATATCTCCGGCCGACAATGGAATACGCGATCCAAGCCTGGTCTCCATGGCTGCAAAAGGATACACAACTGCTAGAGTGTATCTACCACCGCGCGACCAAGCTGGTCATTGGCCTCCGGAACGTTCCCTACAGTGAAAGGCTACGTAAACTCGATTTGTTTGATTTAACTTATCGGCGTATACGAGGAGACCTCATCCTGATGTTCAAGATAATAAACACCCCTAATCACCCTTTAAAACATTTGTTCACAGTTAATTTGGCCCGACAGACCCGACGGAATCCATTGGCCGTTGACATTCCATGTTCCCGCATTAACTGTCGGCGCTACTTTTTTTCAGTCCGCGTATCCCTCACGTGGAACAAACTACCAACATCTGTTGTGGATTGTGGTAACCTCGAGACGTTCAAACATTCGCTTGACGAATACATAAGATCTCACCCAACTTCCCTCATCAACAATTGAGATGCAGACTACACACAATAGAACATATATGTCATATCATTCCGTTTATCTGTATACATACACACACACCAATATCCTTTGGTCATTGTAAAGCAAAATGTAGACCAGACCAATATAACCTTGATTTACCTTGACTTACCCCCTTACATGTGATTTAAGGTATCCCCTATAGTTAAAATTCTACAGGCAGACTGAATTTACCCCCTTACATGTGATTTAAGGTATCCCCTATAGTTAAAATTCTACAGTATTTGCAGACTGAACGTTGTCCAATTACCCTCAGACAGCGAGAAACCAGGTATGTTGGTTTGTGGAACTCCTAAGCTACTTATTCCTGAGTTGAGTAGCAAGGCTAATAAAAGGCCGACATTTAGGACACTGTCCGATATAGCTACCATCATAGCCCAACGTCCTCCAGTTTTTCGCAATAAAATATTGGATTGGAAGACTCTAACTCTTCCCAAGAACGATTTTTTGGGACAAAACACCGTGGTCTTTTGTCCAAATCATTTCTGAGACAATAGCTCCTCTATTCCGATAACTCCCGAAAACGCTCTCAAACAAAAGCGAATTTAATCGTATCAGAGGAGTTGTTGTATGTTAGAGCAAATAAAAATTCACTTCTTACACCGACTACTACTTAGACGTATCAGCGACAGTACTGCCTCAGATGGTATCGTTAGAAGGAGCGAGGTAAGATTAAACTATTTAGATGCAGGCAAATATTTACATAAACATACAGAGTTATATGTAGTTGTAAAGATTAGCAAGCGGCTGACCTGAATATACATCAACCAGCAAGTTAAAGTGATGACCTATTGTGAAAACGTCCCGTAGACCAAAAGCAGTTTTTGGCATGGACACCTCAGTATCGGCTTTGCCACTAATTACGATGTCAGAAATGCATCCAATATTTGTTCGAACTTTCTAAAACTTAAGGTTTTTCGGAAAAAAAAAACAAAATGAGAGCGGTTGCGCCTATTTGGTATCATAAAATATCAATCAAGGCTAAAGTCCGGTCAACCAATCCCATTTTTGTCTTGTGATTAGCAATGCAATTCATGCTCATAATACTTCCCTTCGAAGATTTCATCTTCATAGCTGTGAGCACACTTTTGGACTTTCTTGACTGCCATTCTTTTACAATTCATCTTCCATTTGCTTTTTATAGTGAAACTGGAACCCTATTCAAACGGAGTATTTGTTTGAGGTCAGTTCATCATCCAGACTCTGTCATTTACAGAGTGCTCGCATGTACTAGATACTACCGTAGTGAAGCCGGTAGAGGTCAGTTTTGATCTCAGTCTCCCAGCATAATGTGCTATATAGGTAACTTTTTTTACCCGAGTTAAAGTATCCACTTTCCCAGCTGAACATTTTATATGCACCAATGTTTCCAGTATTAACCTTCAAGTAAGTCCTTCCTCGAAGAAAATACCGAAGTGCAGAGGCATCCCCCGGTCTTTCATTCTCACCCTTGAAGTATACTCGCAGAAAAAGCGGCACATGCATTCATCCGATCATTCTCCTATATTTCACAAGGGGATATCTCGGTTAGTTACACCAATAAGGTCGTATATGTGGAATGTTTTGCATAGTGGATTCCAAGCCTGATCATTGTCCGGTTGGTAATGCAGCCGGGAAATCTGTGTTCCCGCAATTAGCAGATAGACATTCAGTAGACAGAGTCGTTTAACGTTGCTAAGTTGTTCAGTTAATCTAGCGTCCCTTGAACCGCATCTTTGGTCTACGTAAACAATAGCTTGGGCTCCCAAAACAGGCTGATGAAAATCCTGGGAAAACGAACGAGAGCAGATGCCGGGCTGCTGTTATCATGAAGGTCAGTAATCTCGCCAAAAACTCTTGACATTTGTCAACAGACAAGCAAGATAGCGGAGAAGAGATAGAAAACGCGTTGTGGGAATACGACTTTGAATGTTCCAACAGTCCCACAAATCCATAGCAGTGGGAACAGTGTGCCCATTGCGTGCTTAACCGGCACTGTTTAAGAAAGAAGAATTGAATGTATAACAAGTTAGGTCTTGGTGTAGACAGGAGGCTCAGATGATGGTCTCTGAAGCAGAGCTTTACACTGTCGGCTGTTGTCAAAAGAAGAGAGGCCCGAGGATGAAGAATTACCTTGGCAAGGCCAATAAATTCCTCGTTTATGAGGACTGTGTTGTCGACTGCTCATATTGGTCCAACCGCTTTAGCTTGTATTTCATTCCTCCGTGCAGTCTTTAGGTTCTGACACATTAAACGTAACCAATAAATAGCACGAAGACAGTTCTAATCACCAGTCCTAAGCTTGACCAAAAAGTGCTAAGTACTATTGGCCAAATATTTCTACGCTGCTAGACCTACTCGCTACTCCTGGTACAAACAAGGAGATTCACTCAACAAATGTGCATCTCTTCTGGTAATAGAGCACTGTAACACCCATGCAAATCAATAACATGTTTCGCATGAATTTCTGATTACGAAACGGGCTTATTTATCTCCATAGCTATCAGCACAAACGATGGAAACCGGTTTTGACAAACTCCTGTGTGTTGCAATCACCGTTCGTTAGTTTCATTTGCTCTGGAAAACTACTCCTACAAATGACAAACTTGGTGGGTTATTTGAGAGCGCTTATGATCCCAACACCCGGTGTGATCAGATCCACACGTTTCAAGTTCTAGAATTTTACGCAGCACAAATCTGACCTCCGTCCGTTCATGTTTTATCACTGATTATAATTTTATTACTGGTTATCACTGAATGTTTGTTTCTGCTTCTTCAAAGATCCAATTCTAGTTGACATTCATTCACTTGCAGAGTTGTAAATTTTTTGCAGCATTTCGGCTTGTCAATATACTCCGCATTATGTTTGCTATTTCTAAATTCAGTTGGTCTGACAAGAAGTTGGGCATACCCTCCCCATCGAAAATTGAGCCATTTTAGATGTACTAAGGTTTTCTATGCCATTTCGTTTTGTGTATACTATCATTTTACATTTTATTCGGCTTGTTCATAAATCAGCTTCTGTAGGATTAAAGAATGAACCTCACCTCTACAAATGTAATGTTCGACCTCTGATGTGCATGCCACATCTTACTAAAAAATTTACGGACATATTAGGGATGACGGCCTTCGTCTTCTTTTGTCCCGATTTCGTTCTGTGAAAGCAAGCATGAAATGTTTGTGTACGTTTATCCATCCTTATATAGAAGTTCCGATATGCTATGCTGTAATCTTTGCTTCACCAAATTCAAGTCTACAAGAAACGGCTTTCATAAGACACTCCCTATAACCTCACCTGGAAATTTTCACAGTTCCCAATGTGGCAAGGGAAATTCACTTCTCTTGTTGCGCTGATTGGATTGTGGGTGCCCATCAGTTCATCGATCCACCTATTTATTCATTAATTCATTCGCCGACTAAAGAACCCACCCGTTAAGAAAGTTATGTAATGAACAGGAGAATTTGTAGAAAATCGCAAATATTATCAGTCTTTCGATGTAAACATCACAGTGAGATGAAAATGGAGCCTGGTAACAATGACTCAGACCGGTTATGTAACAAAATGTGAATGAGCCATAAAGTACATTCAGACTCCCCACGATCCACGGACCAGGCGTTCAAATCTGTCCATTTCTTCTTTATACGCCATCCCATAAGACCCGAATATTGCCGCGTAGGTCTCCATGTCATCTGAGTCTGTGAGTGAATCCAACGGACATCCAGCAAGAGCTATTGATAAACCTTCATAGAACGCCTGAAATTCTGAAAAATCCACGTATTCATCCGAAGACATAAGTTGGCCAAGAGCGCTGACAAACTCGTTTTTGGAGAAGACCACACGAGAACCTTTGATGAAGCAGGGAACGATCAGATAGAAAGTGCCGAAAAATCTTTGAAAGAAACTTATTTCGAATTCTATGCCAATAAATGTCTTTCACTACAAACCAAGTCTCGTTGTTTTTCCACCCGTTTTGGAGAAGACCACACGAGAACCTTTGATGAAGCAGGGAACGATCAGATAGAAAGTGCCGAAAAATCTTTGAAAGAAACTTATTTCGAATTTTATGCCAATAAATGTCTTTCACTACAAACCAAGTCTCGTTGTTTTTCCACCTGAAAAATGCAAACCTTTTTTCAGTCGAATCCCATTTTTTTCAAAACTACGAATACTAAAAACTTACCACCCCGAAAGCAGGTTCCGGAGGGAGAGGAAGGATTTTAGTTGTGTGACCGTTTCTGAACCCAGCTCAATTTTAGCTAATTGGGGAATAGTCCGACTCAACAACTGGCAGGTGCATCGTTTTTTGGCGCTTGATTGTGCCAACAGATATTCTTATCAATTCATGTTAGCCTTCATTCTAAGTTAGAAAACATGGAGGAAGAAGGCTTGATATTCTTGGAAAAAGTGAAGTAATTGTACACATTCTTTCATCATATTTCCTAGCGTTTCTCACCATCACAGTCCACGCTCTTACTTTCCCAGAGAAACCAATCATATTGCTCATGGAGATCAAGAGCTCGTGCTTCGCGCGTTTTGCTGGCTTCATCGCAGTTCCTTTAGAATCTGTCATGATAGGAGAGTTGATAAGAACATCTCCGAGCATCAACTAATAATCTCTTACAGAAAGAAAGAGTATAACCAGACAGGTCTGCAGTAGAACTGTTCTCTGAAAACGGTTTTTTCTTCTAGACTCCTTGTATGTGAGCGAATTAATGCTGTCTTTCTCTGAGTAAAGACCAGTTCAAAATGGTTGAGTCTAAAGTGGCGTATTTCCAAGGTACGTGAAGAGCCCCACAACTTCGAGTGTCTCTTCCTGGATTGCAAATGGTGCATTTAGTGACTACATGTCCAAGAGCATCACCTTACACTTTGAGGGTGAAAAGTGCATACCAAAGGACGGGATGACTTTGGTCAGCTCATCCAAAAACACCTGAGCCATCGTCTCTTTGAAAACGAGAAAAATGTCGTCTGCTCATCCCAGGTCGACAGTTCTGACGGCAACCGTTTTGTGTACAGAAGCCTTTGGGGAACTCTCCGTACACTCTCACACGTCCGGAAGTCTGAGAATACAAAGAGCTTACAATGTTCACAAACTTCCATTGCGTTTCTTGGTGAGCAAGCGTGTCAAGGGGAACAGACCAGTTGATCGGGTCGAATAAGCGTTGAAAATTCAGGAATACTGAAAATGTGGGTTGTTTGTACGTAGGTTGTTGCTCTGTCACCTGACAAAGTATGAAGATCTGATCAACGCAACTACTACCAGGCCGCTTGCTGTTCTCGATTCAGTGTTCCACGGGGTACCATTGGGCGACGAAGTAAAATTGATGCCAACAGTCTCATTACGACTGGATTCAAGCTGATCCCCTGTGGTTGCCATAGCCACTACGAGCCTTTTTTTAACTGGACACCATCACTGATTTTTTCCGCTTGCTTCGGACAGTCTCCTTCTTCTCAAGGCACGTAAACAGATCAGGCAACTGCTGACTGAGGACATCTCTGAACAATGCCGTTGGGAGATCATCCGAACCAGGTCAGTGGCGCTTGAGCGTACATACGTGGTCATAAATCTCTAAGACCGTTGGATGTTCCACGTTCACTGTCTAGGGTTCCAAGTCAGTTGTCCAACTACAAACAGGTGAACACCGACAAATCCCATTCGGATGCTATTTACCCATTCCCTACTTGGTGAAATAAATTTTAGGAGAGTGCTGCTGAAAAATGTCTTGGCCTGACACACGGATTGGATACAATAACTCCAGCAAGATTTGTCAACTCCATAAGGGTCCGCTCATCTCAGCATCCCAGTGATACATGGGACTGTTTTAACTAAATACTGATTGTTTCAAAGTGCAGGGAGAATTTATCACGAATCTTCACATGGAGATCTCGAGATTATCCACTGGAAACTATTGAAAATAACAGTACTGTATTGACTAGAAGAGGCTTAGTGACGGTACCCGTTCGGACAAAGACATCTTGTGAATAAGCTTTGATAGAAAACAGTGTCAAACATCATTAACCAATTTTTACTGTCTCTCGTAACGAAGAAATCTGTGAGGAAGATTGCATCTTAATCTCCAGCCATCATACATCTTGCTCCAACTATTTCACTACAGCCGATTTACATAGATTGGCAGTTGAATATAAGTGGATACAAAGTCAGATACCTACAATGAAACTTGAATATACACGTTCACATTCAAACATCTGATATCCATCAGAACAAAACTGTAAAGCTTGGCACGAATGTTAACTAACCAAACTCCTTCAAAGCCCATCGTGGTTCCTGGTAGAATCGGCTCAGGTCTATCAGTTTCACGTAACCAAATTGGTGTGAATCCACTTTCAAAAATACCTACAATCCAGAAAACAGGCCTGCGTGGGATACCCGGTTATATGTGCCTAGAATAGGTTTGCCTAAGATATGAGCAATGAGGAGATGAACTCTAAGGTTACCCAAAGCATGCGCAAGAGGTTAATTCATATCTTGTTTTGTCAAGAGATTTTAGGGTAGTAAGCGGACGTAAGCAACGCTTTACAATCATCTTTTCTAGTTCACCTACGATACCCTGTTTTGTAGCAGGGTGATGCAGTTGGCCATGTGAAATCGGGTTACGGCAGATTCTTTGTAAATGAAATACCCCCTTGTTCAACACTTTTACCATTTTCGCGTTACTTGAGTTCGATGATTGGGATGACCGACATTTTAAGTGAACTTGCCGGTCAATGGCAGTTACCACCTATGTAAACCTGAAGGAATAAAATTGATGGATAAACATGGAGACGTTAAATATGAATGTGCTTCATTTTCCGTAAAATAGCTACATCGGATGACGAAGTAGCTTTGAGGCGAAGCGCAAAGTGTTACTCTAAATATTCTGTGGGATTTCAGGCTGATATCGCAAATAATGTAGAGAGGAAGAACTGCTTAGCTATACGCAGTTAGTCCACTTTTTCCATGCCGGTAATCAAACTCCGTATTTTCGCTTCCTAGTGGCTAAAACAGTTAACGAACACCGAGGTTAAGTAATCAGAAGACACGGGCAGCCGTAAACCTCGTAAAGCGTGTTCATCTTGGCAGAGTTCTTCATTACCTAGTCGTTGAATTGTCCGGAATTCCTGTTGTTGCTGGTTTTTTCCAGAAAATCGCGTAGCTTTTTCAATGAACTGGTGCATATCGTACGGAATATCTGGCGGCTTCTTTCGCCACCGGAAAAATAAAATAGTGAGTTGCCTACTGCTGTTGATCTCCAATTGGCATCAAACAGCTATCTGTTGCTGCTTCTTAGAGGACTGCTCAAATCTCCTCACATCACCAACAACATAAAGGACAGCCACATATCACTCCACGATTGTTCTCGTCTTCGCTGATGCGAGGCGATAAACTGCGACGCACCGCTAATTGCTTGCGCACTAATGATGTCACATCGGTTGGAACAAAAATCTCCAGCTCAGTGAACATGGCAGCAGCCATCTCTGCAACCTATGCTACCAATATTTCCATCAATTGCAATAAGTACTTTACTTTTACTAAAATTCGGAAAACTGAGGTGAGAAACTGCAACAAAACTACGGTCTACCGTTACACAGCTGATCGGATACATGCCTCAGTGAACCCTACAGCTTGGGTAATATTTGCTTTGTGGTAGTTCATAATCAAGCTGCTTTACATTTTCAGAAGGCATCTTGGGGAATAAGCATCAAATTCCGGTTTATGAAATTCACACCTGGGCAACTTATTTCAGACATCTTACAATCTAATAGATGAAAGCAGCTATAGTTAGGCTGTATTCTGAGACTTCTGGTGCAACTCGTACTACCAGAAAGTCATACTCACCACAGTGATGTATTACCAAGGAAGACTGGGTCAAAAAGCAGTGTTCAAAAAGACAACAGGAGACCAAGGGGAGAAAGAACCTAGCACAATAAGTTACATCGTTGCACCCAGTTTACAATAATGCGGTAATCCCTTCGGAACAGCATACTTCCCAAGAAGGAGCGCTTTCATGGGGCGCCTTCCCTGTCGACCGGAACGTAGAGTGTAATCTGTTCTGAAGAAAGGGGGATGCTTTTTTCCCAGTGGTGGTCGATGTTGAGCGCTTGGCTGTTCCATCCTGCTGGGTCGACAAGTGCGGGGACAATTTCAGTTTTCTCGATATCAAGGCCTTATTAGGACTCTGATTTAAGACGGAAATGTTGAATTGGTTATCATATCCCAGGATGCACCTTAATCGAACTGGGTGTTATGACAGTGTTGTTATGACAGTGTTGTTTTCACCTATGGAAACTAATCATTGTGTTACTTGCTTGCTTACTTACTGTAGATACGGCAGCCCAAAGTGCTCCGAAATACATGTGAAAGCATAAGTTGAATGTATAAGGAACTTCAAACGTATTCAAACAGCTCACCTCAGAAATTAGTTGTCGACGAGCTTCAGGGAGTTCTCCAAAGATCAGATGAAGGTAGTCTGAGAAATGGACTGGTCCAGTGTATCCCCCGGTTGCTTGATGCGCACGCCAAACTACTTCCAAGTCGTCCTAAAACAAGAGCAGTGTAAGAATGCCGCGTCGTCTTATTGTTTGTCCGTATATTTCAAGTGGCTACTTCCACGAAACGTTGTTCAACCAAAGTGCAAACCAGATCTCAAGGGGATGAGTACGTGTGTAACAGAATTTCCTCCAGCTAAAGTCAGAGAAGGGGCTATTACGAAAATTTGTGCATGCATTTATTAGAGACAACAAGAATTATCGCCCATTTACCCTACCTCACCACTTGTCGCTCTGCAGGCGGATGAACCAGCTTCAGTTGCCTATAGGTGTTCTCCTGTTCACATCACCTTTTCCTTGGTTTGAACTCGGAAAAGATTCTATGAAGGGAAAACCTGTCAAGGTAGTGTAAACCGACTAAAATTAAATAATTCCGCTCCTCCTTGTTCTCAGGAGTAAATCCTGATAAGCAGTTGGTCTTAGAAAACTATTTTTAAAGGGCGCATTCTCCAGTATTCTCCCTCGCCTAGTTTTCTTCGGGCGATCCCATTGGTAACGAGAACGATCAGTGAGCCACCAGTGAAAAATAAAGTAGCTTTGCATAGTTTTACGTGAAAAAGTTCGCACATCAATCACTCCCCTGAACGGAATTCTTCTATCAGCATCGTCGGAGTAGAACGATCAGTGAGCCACCAGTGAAAAATGAAGTAGCTTTGCATAGTTTTATGGGAAAAAGTTCGCACATCAACCACTCCCCTGAACCGAATTCTTCTATCAGCATCGTCGAAGTCCTTTGCGGTACGGGTTAAACTGGTTAGAAGGATCTTTGATGACCTAGCTTGGTAAAACGCAAATTATTCCAGTAACAACAAACAATAAAACACTGCAAATAATGAAAATCATTTGCCAATTAAAAATTGCAAGTGGAAAACTCAAGCAAATCTCAGCTGAGGCGTTCCTTAATACAGTCTTCCAAATTAATTCACTGCGCAGATAGTGTCTTATGTTTCAGTTGGGTTGACATTGAAGATATGGAATAAATTCCGTTCATGTGACGCTAGTTATAAAGTTTATGAATAATCTTAGACATAGAACCGTCGGTTCCTACAAATTAAGCCGAGCCTCAGCAGGGCTTTACATTGACAAAAGTAGTTTTCATCAACCTTCTGGGTAGCGTGATGAGAAGAAACGTCTTTCTTCAACAAATACACTCACGAGAAACCCAACCGAATCCCGGCCGAATCACTTGTTCGAAGTGTCTGCGGCAAATTTATGAGCAGTGTATTACGTCTACAGAACCTTTCTTTTTTCAGTAAACGATGGCTATACATGGACGATACAATTCCAGGTAAAATCCAGATTCGTTCGCTAGGTTTTGGTTATCCTTATCGCCGCCTAACCATGGAGCTCTAACAAGTAGGCCACAGACCGTCTCATCCAGAGCAATAACCTACTGCCTATTCATCTACCAAATCATTGAGGCAAGCACATAAAAAGGAATATCTTGTTTTTTGTTAGTGTATCGTAATTTAAATACGTTTAGGATGTACTGCTGAACGAATAAAAGCACGTCTGACTTCCATGTCGGGTAACCTGAGTTGCACGGAGAGGAAGCGAACTTCATGGCCAGTTCATCAGTTGAACCATCAAATGTGCACATAAAAGCACGTCTGACTTCCATGTCGGGTGATCTGAGTTGCACGGAGAGGGTTAAATGGAAGCGAACTTCATGGCCAATTCATCAGTTGAACCATCAAATGTGCACTCCAACAGGATGGACATTCATCCTGGATTGAAAGGATTTCAATCAGTTTACTTGTTAGCGGACAAAGTAAATTTGATGATAAAAGTGCTCCGAAGATTCACTCCTTTTTTCAGAAACAAATGAACTTGCCACTAACAGGATGCAGTTGTGGGAGCTGAAACCAGTGCAAACCTTGCTCCAGTACGGCTCTGCTTGCAACGTCGGTGTCAATCGTAGCAACCGTCCCTCTGATAAACCCCGACGGATGACACAAGTTTTTATTGAACTCGAGACGATAATGCTTATACAAATTTACGTAGGCTTCAACAGGCCTCGTTCTTCGCCGCAGAGCATTCCGCCATGTAGCTGCAAGACATGGAAGACAGTTTTAACAGTGGTTGGTCTACAGTGAGCATTGTGTCAAACGGTCATGACACACAAAAAGAATCAGTTCCAAAAAGTCCTTAAGATACTTAGACGCGGGCTGACCTGCTCAATAATGTTGAGATGGTAACGACATCCCTGACCGGTCATTGATCTCTTGTGCAAAGGATGAGGAAAATGTTGGTAGGTCAGGTAGCGTAGATGGTCGTTGGCTTGTTCGTTGAGTTAGGCAATTTGATTGCAAACGTTTCCTTACCAATCGAGGTGATATCATCAGCGTGTTATTGGGAAGTGTAGTGGTGCATAGCGGTGGGTTGGTGGTTGTGCGTTGAGTTGTGTTACGCGAGCAAGCCAACGGCCATGAGTTTACTCTACTAATGTGTCCACAGAAATGCACTATTTCTCGAATTGTGTGATTTCGAGTTCTATGGGAAATCATGTAGAACCAGTGATTGAACCTCTAAATTCTAAAAAATTTGCAAACGAAATGCGTGTACAAGCATGTTTGATTTTGCTTGCCTAAGCAGAGGGTCAGTTGAACGTGGAATTTCTTGTTCGCCTTCGAAGTGCTGCACGTACAAAAACTTCTTTGCAAAGAATTCCAAAATCTTCTGTTGAAAAAACATTCAAAGACTTATCCATCACCCTAGGTGGGTGAGATTTAAAGCTTCTATTATGATGATCACTGTTCAAACTTAAAATAGGCGCCTCCAACTGTCCCATACGACAATTCGTAACCAATTACTGTATCAATAGTAAACATTTAAAAACATAGTTCCTACATTGCGGGATGCATCAGGCCAAATTGTAGTGGCTTCACTCCTTCAAGATGTTACTGTTTACACACACAGTTTCTCTCTCGTCTGAAGAGCATTTCAAGAAATTTAACGAAAACGGCTCCAGTCGGAAAGCAGTCTACCATTTAAATACTCTTTAAACAAGGTTTTTCCTGGCGAAATATCCAGAGAAAGAAAAATGTTCTCGTCAAGTACGTTCATGCATTTCTATAAAGGGCTACAAAGTAGAGCTCACATTCACTCCCCGCGCCCAATATATACAGAATGGATGCCATCGACCAACACCAACAAGTCGCAGTGGAGAACCTCTAGTTATACGGAGGTCTGCGGTTCGTGACCGACTGCTGATTACCTATGACGGCAAAAACTCGGTTGTTGCTGATAACATACATGAAGAACAGGTGATTTCCAAGAACCAGTTAGTCTCTACACATATGTTACAATAACGTAGAGAAACCAGAATATTGTATAACACAACGGATATGTCCCCTGGACAAAGCAATTTGGAAAGTATGAATAAAGCCATCAGGCCATTTTTCAAACATCCTGCTCCAGCAGGTGTCCCTGGGCGTTTGTGACGGCATGCACAGCAAACCTAGTTTTATTTCTTTTATGAAACATGCACGTCTAAGGAGGCTGGTTTTTCAATCGCCAGAGAAAAGGCTTGACGTAGAAAAACAGCAGCAACGCCATTTTTCTGAATTGACACTAAATTTTTGTGTACTATGTCTTCCAAACCTTTTCAAGGTATTTATGCTAAAACTGCTAAAAAACCATACTGTACATGTTTCAGGTTCCGTAGTAATTCCTAAACTGCTAGTATTCTTCTAACATAGTAACATTCGAAGATTTAAGTGCAATTTTGCTACCGACCTACGTTTATCTGATGACAGGTCAATGTGAACAAAGTTAACATTTTCTCAACTCATTTTATAATATTTTGCAGCACATTGTGTATCTTCTTCGAGTTGTTAATGGTTTGTGGTAAACTGACACCAGGAATTTACCATATTTAGCAAGCCGTTTCCCATGCGCTTAGTTTTTATTTTTTCTTCTGTTGACAGTCCATACTCCGTGGCATACATTCGCATAAACCCCGGCACGGATGTGAACACAAGCATCATGAATGACATAGTTAGGTCAACTATGTCAAAAGATATGACCATTCAGCTCTTTGATAAGGTCTTAATTCGATCCTAATTGACAGATGAAAGGCAGGTAACCCACCTTGCAGTTTGGCCAGCTTGAGATGCAACTCTGGTTCAAGGGGAAAGTGTGCTACCTGCAGTTTTGCGATTACACGGATCCACATATCTCTTGGAATTTGCTGTCGACGCATTTCAGCTTCACTGGAAGAAAAATATGCATTGCTTTAGCACAGCTTTCAGTAATTTTTTAATTGACAGAAATTTGAGACAACTTTCCAAAAAATGGAAGATATTTATTCTTAGTCACTAGCTGATTTTTCATTCACTTCGAGAGTGAACTTTTTCCTCAGTTTGACACATGGTTCTCAGTTCGTTCATCAGCATCAGGGTCTCTGTTCTGGCCACCCTGTGAGACACCTCAGCTCGTAACCGTCATCGGAGTTGTGGTATCTAACAACTACTAAATCGTGGTTTCCGTGCAAAGGGCGCTTCATCATTCACATCTTAAATTCACTTATCAGCAGGCCTAGAAGTAACTTGAAGAAGCTGACGGAGGCAGGATGCTGATTCATGTCACATTGTTTTCCAAACCAATACTTGCATATCTAGACAACCTTTCGTCTAACTGTGCTCAACCAAAGGTTTTCGAATGGAAAATGGAATACTCACATAGCGCATTGTCGTTTTTCACTGTCGACCGTACAGATACGGATCCGCAGAACCCCTTTAGTGTGATTCAGAAAGTGACGCAACTGCTCGGGTGCATTGGCGGCCTCTTCAAACCGAACAAAAAGTGTAGCACCGGGAAATATATCAACTTCGGGGATGTATGGGCAGCCTTTTCGGCGCCCATAGGCACAATGATGAACAGCTCGTGGAAGAAAGGGCATCGGTCTCATGCTAGGAGAGAATGTAAAGCAATTAAAAGGCTGAGCAGCTATGAAGAATGATCAAACTCATGGTCGTCAGTTTCAGCATATTTCTGTCCAATTATTTATTTCTGAATTCTAGCGAAAATAACGCACGGTTTGGACAGTGGAACAAAAAATCACGCAACTGCAAGTGGGATTCTGCACCCCTGGAGGTGACTCAAACATTTCTTATACTCATTTCTGCTCAGACCGAACCGCACATATTTTAGTTATGTAAGTTGCACCAATGGAACTTTCCAAATCACTCATCACCTCTCACATCCCTTTAAGACAAACCCCATATTCTGACCAAGATTGAATCACATGACTTCTCAGACTGCTTAGCTCAAAGGCGAAAAAACAGTGTCAGTCATCCTATACTGCTTGTCACTATGATAAGTAAACTCATAGAACCGTTTTTATATTGGAGAAATGAAGAATCTGAAGCAAATATTCCTCCAAGAAATTCAGCTAGTAGCAATTCAATAATAAAAAACGATTGAATTTCGACGTTTGGGTTCATATGGCTGACCTATATATGTCTGAGGGACAATCAGCACCGCAAAAACAGGAAGCAAGATTCGAAACATCACAAGGTCAAATTAAATAAATTCACCTCAAAAATGTCGATCCGTCATGCCAGACTGTTCCTTTATGGAAATTATTACATAAAGCGTAAAATGACAACGGTGACAGTAAGCAATTGATCAGCAAACCTTTTATTGCCAGTCTCGGCTAATGATTACATTAATTTGACCATATGAAATCTATCTCGTGCTTAGCACAACTGGGATTTGTCGAAATATACGTAGCTCGGGTGTTTACTGGTGGTGGGATCGATTGTGCGTGGGCTGTGTAATAAATCTGGCTGGGTTGACTATTTGGTGAACAGATGCAAATTAAACAACACAGTTTTTATACTCCGACGTCTCAGTCACCTAACCTGACCTTTATCAGAAGAAAAATTATTGAAATCATATTTTCGTCCCCAAGTTATCAGAACGCTTAGCCGTGAAAATGTCTGCTCCTGCCTTTGTTTTCCTCTAATAATTAAGGGTGGTTTTATGGTTTGTAGTCCCTTAATAATATATGGGTCACCATCGTAATCCATCAGTAATTAATTACCGGCTTGACAAAAGTCGTTTTGCAAACAGGGGGAAAAGGTTATACTCTGAATGACCCGAGACAACTGACCTCAACCGCATGTGCAGGCGTCTTCATCAACCACTGATTGAAGGTGCCATGGTGGCTTGTCACTTATCTACCCTGCGTTCCTGAACACAATTTGTGAAAAACTGGGAGGCATTGTAAAGTTGTTTCTTCCTTATTGGGAATCATCTTCAGTGCGCACCTCACGAAATTCCGGAGGGTCTCGAACGCTCAACTCTTCGGCCACGCGCGGCTGATCAGCAGTGTGAATACCTCGTACTTAGACAGGATATAGCGCCGCTCATCCTTCAGTCACGGGATCCACATCACACTGGCACACTTGTTGACTGGCTCCTCGAGCAACGACTCTCCAGAGTTTCGTGAGATGGCACTGCTGGATGATTCCCAATAAGGATGGAACAGCTGTACAATGCTTCTCGGCTTTCCAGCTTAGATTGGCTTCACTTACAAGACGAAATTGCCGCAAAAATCCCAAGTCTCCCCACACCACCGACAGTTGGTCCAAATATAAAATTATCGAAGCAAATGCCAAATCTCCAGGCAGCTGAAAATAACAGTGAACTGTGAGAACATTTTGTGTGGAACGTATAAGAAAACTCACATATTAGACTAGGGAAGAAGGTTGAAATCGTTGGGGGATATCCGTCAGCAAGGTACCCCCTACTGAGCATTCATATGAAAGGAAATGTCAGGACTTGTTTGCGTTAGGCATTCATAAGACACAATATCTGATCTTTTAAATAAAGGTTAGGTATGATTTCATATTTCAAAAGGACGTATGGTGCTGAGAATGATGTAGTTAATTTGTTGTTGCATAAACATGCGGGACAAACCTTGATCTAGTGGGATGCTTCTCATTTAACATCCATGTTGAATCGTCCAGAAAGGCCAAACCAACGTAGCTCCTTAGACTCCATGAGGAAATGGAATTTTTCCACGGGAAGTCGGGGCGGAAATTCACATGAGTGCATGCAGATACATCCGATGGGTTGAAAACGGAGAGACGAGCGGTGAATGGCATAGTCTGTTTTACAGTTAAGTGCGGACTTAGCTGCGCTGGGTGGACTGTCATTGTTGATGGCCTGGATTGACAAAATTTCCAAAGTTTTCTCAGTCAGAAGACAGACAATAAAAGGTGAACACTTGCAAGCTTTATTCAAGTCTAGACATCACTTAAAGTGTAGTTTTATCTTGAGCTCTTGGTTACTAGTTAATGACAACAGGCAGATATTTGCTTGTGAGTTCTCATGGACTGCATAAATTAAAAAGACTGATGGTAGCTTTTCTTTGTATCTGAATACAAAACTGTGTGAACATGAACTGAAAGCTTGTTAGGATTTGGATCTTCTGCTACCTATATCTTAAATTCGATGCGCTAAAATAAACAGAATATGTCCTTCAGTCAAACGAACCCGTACAACGACTTTGTACAAAGCGCCAAACGCATTCAAAAGTTTCGTGCTTAGTCATCAATCCCGTAACAGGTGACTACGTTGAGTTTCATCGCTATCTCCACTATCACTTTAGACAGCTTTAGAGAGGTCGTGGAATCGTCGGTTCAAAAAAGTTGTTGTGCCTTCGCGTAATGGAAAGTAGATTCTCGGCGTTGCACACAAACTTATGACCCATCTCCCTTCACTAAATGAGCAACTCAACCACATGTTTTCGGATAGTGTGCACACTTTACTACGCTCCCGTAAGTGAAGTGTAAAGCTGAGGGAAAGCAGAATACAAAAAACAATTGCACTTTCTGGAAGCCACACACTCATCAGGTTGTCGAAAGCACTTCGACAGCTTTTGACACCCTTCTTGAAGTCCATCAGAGAGGCACACTCTCAGGGTTTCCGTCAACCTTATGTTGTGCTTAAATCTAAGTCGGACTCAGTTCGCGAAGGCAGTCTTTGTACAGCCGACTGAGCTAAAGAAGAATATCACGGACGAGAGACTCATCTGGATTCCAGTTTAATCTCCCGTTAGAACCAGACTGATGTGCAAGTGGATGTTGTTCTCAAAAACCCATGACTGTTTCTTGTGCCTTGTTAAGGGCCCTTCCATGCACACTTATGAACACATAACATCATGCTTGATCAACTCATATTAAATTCGTCAGAACGCGCTTCTGTTCGCCCTATAGGCACCTTTCCCTGACCAGCCTAACGTGTTCCAAGTAAGGCGAAATAGATAATGGGCTGCCGAGGAGTTTTTATCAATCTAATACGTAGTCTCATACCAAGGAGAATAGCTGGCTGTTGAAAAGTTGTGATGCAGTCACATCTAGCCTACGACGGTAGAATAGAATTCCTACACGAAATAAGATGTGCACTTCTGTTAAGGTCATCTGAGACCGAAGACTGTGTCCTTTGTATAGTCCTGAATGGTAGTTTCACAGAAGCTCCGTTCAATCAAGTGATGTGAGGATAGGACTTCACGTTTTACTTCACATGAAGGCCATGCCTGCGAGGAAACCCGCTATTGCGAAAACACTGACAATTGATGGTAATTATCGCAGAGGTAACATTTCTCCACTGGGTAAGTGATGAGTAATACTGTACACTACGGGAACGTTTTGTGTGTTGTATAATCCTGTAAACCTAACCAAATTCACACTGATCTGAATTTTTTGACGTATCATATTCAAATTTGGCTATATCCATAAATCACAAAGCTTTCTTACTTTTCTGAAGTTCGTCTATCCGCATGAGTATTAGTCGATTCCTCCGCCCCACGGATGTGATTATCTGTGTACGGAGACTGAAAAAAACATCAAACATAGAATATTCTTACAATTATCTTGGACTTTGATTCATGAGTAGTCGGTGTAAGCACATATTCCGGCTTATCGGGGCGACGCTGCCTTTTCAGACCGCCCCACGGATGTGATTATCTGTGTACGGAGACTGAAAAAAACATCAAACATAGAATATTCTTACAATTATCTTGGACTTTGATTCATGAGTAGTCGGTGTAAGCACATATTCCGGCTTATCGGGGCGACGCTGATTCTCCTTTTCAGAAAGAGTTTGATAAAATTCAATAAAATCACAAGTAAATATCTTTAGGTGAAAACAACTTACCTCGTGTACTTTCAGACGTTATCTGCTTTTTATAACCCTCCCTTTCGATGGTTTTCTTTTCATCGTGTTTCGGCTGTGAAGAGTCACGGTCTTTATAGATCGTTCACTTACTACTTGGGCGGTAGAAGTAGAGTGATCTTGATATGTCCGCCTATGAGATTCATTTACCGGATTCATTCGAGTGGTTTCGTTGGAATAGTCACTGCCCCAACTCACCGTCGACAAAGAGGATCGATTCGTAGAGGCATTTTGAGTTGACTTGGCAATCGTATAAATCGGTCCATCAGAACGCTCTGATAAGGTTCCGAAATCTAATTTGGGAATTCTTGTATCATAAATATGGTCGTGCATGTTGCTGCTGAGATAGAAACCCTTGGCACAAACCAAGCTGTAAAAAATTAGAAACACAATTATTTCTAGATTCCGTGTTCTCAAAAAGGCAGAAATCCCGCTTTTGCACAAACTTGTCTCTATAGTGGCAAAGAAAACTGCTTGGAGCGAACGAATCAGCATACTCCAGTTTTCCAGCCACGAAGGTCTTCCAAGAAAAGCGACGTGTTCTTTCGAAGCGTAAAAGTCGGCAGCTGTTCAAGCTAGCGTAAGTGACCCGCAATTACCAACAGGGGACTGATAAACTTCAAGCGACTGAGGACTAAGAACGAGCTAAATGCAAATTTATGGTAAATAGTGAATTCTACTGGTTAATCTCCTCCGTGACGCTAAGTCCCACATTACGAATCGGCTTGTTCTCTGTGATATCTACGGATGAAATAATAACCACAAGAACCACCTTGCCGTTACATTTTATTTGCTTTCCACTGTCGGGTCAATAAATTTTACACTGGGACTGGGAAAGTCATAGCCTACGTTTGGCTATATTTGCAACAGCTCTTCAGAGTGAAAAAAATTCTTGTTTATTGTATCGGTATCCTCCAGGGTCAGATATTTGGTTTGTAATTCAGGCACCTAGCTCAAGTTTTAAAATTGTGTGCGCAAACCTGCTGGTGGTGAAAATAAAACAAAATAAAACAAAGCAACTCAAGTTACAGTTAGAATGGACGCCATGGCAACTGGACTGATGCCCACAAAGATATAATTAAGAAACGCCACTTTGAATATTGTTATCAAGATATCAGATGTGTATGTTCACCTTTACTGTATGGGACCTTCGGAGAAGACTGGCAAATTGTGCCAAACGAAGTCCATGATAAGCATGTCGCCTTTGTTTTCTCTTGGGTCAACCCTCACCTTTCTAAAAATACGAATGATGTTCTTTATCCTCGACTCAAGGAAAAGAGTGTGCTCAATTTCCGCTTATCCCGAGTTCACAAAACCCAACGAAAGAAGGGAGCTACTACCTACAAACAGTCTCACCATAATATAGAATTATGGACTTGAATATTGCCTAGTCTATAAGTTATCCATAGCACTTTTTCATAAAGGAAACGACTCAAAAGTTTGCTGAAAACTCTTCGACAGCCCACATAGCGCCTTATGTGTAGGAGCCTAACATCAGCAGCACAAAAGATTTGGTAGGTAAAGCCACAAGTAAAAAGCAAGTTAGTTTCACAGTTTATGATACTTGTGAGGTAGCTCCATTTCTTCGTCAATGCAATCAAGAGCATCCAAACGACGTTGTCTATCTACGTCCTTTGTACCAATAACCTCTCTTGCATCAGAACTCCAATGAGGTGTATTCCATTTCTTGTATCTGTGTGATCAGTAGACTGGACTACCTTGATCATCTTTTGTGTGACATGGGTAAACATGCGATTCGCCAGCCGGTAGTCAAGGTGACGTTTGTATTTCAGGAGAGTGTCCCCAAGTGACCTTGGAGGTTGCTGTATATTCACCACGTCCATTCAACCTCTCTGTGCACTGTTTCATGCTTGTGAGTTTCACTATTCAGTGGTGCTTGGATAGCTTAGGTTTGGTCAACGGACAATCACAACTAGGCTAACTATGTAGCATCACACCTGTTCTCCTTACAACAGTCTAGATACTTATCATTTTCCTGCATGTTCCACAGAAGATTTCTTGTTGGTGCTGTGTGTTAGGTTCTGTTTAGCTGTTGTCTCCTCACTTCAAGCTTCAGCTAGCACTGGATTTAATGGTGCTGATATACAAAAACCTTCAGCCAGGGTAGATCTGCCTCTTGAGAGGCTGTTTTGGGTAGTGGAATTACTTTAAAACCACGAGAATCAACTGCTTTTACTCGGTCATTTAAAAAAATTCCCGCTTCCTATGCTACGGGGTTGACAAAACATAAGTAGTTTCAATTGTTCATAACTTCAGCTTTGTACTCGTGCATCCCCGTACTCGTTGAGAACATGCCACAATCCCTTACTGCCCCCAGGATAATTTCGCAGTGGTTGTCTCGATGAACTATGAACAACTCATCCTGTTGCAGTGTATCCTGTTTGAGTTTTCTCATGACTTCAGGGGCATCTAGAGAATAACAAATGTTGAACGGTATTCCAACGACTTCGTGGACGGGAACGACAGGAACACTGGCTTCAACTACCAAATTATTTTGAGTCTTTCTGCCTTCCTTCCTATTACTGAGATACGTCAATGTGCCGACCAGCTATGCACCCGCAAGTAACTGGTTAATCCAGAGTGGAATTCAAAAGCCTCCAGGAGCCCAGAGAGGGTTTGTAGATAAAAGGCTCCCAAGATAACTGGGTGAAATCCTCTCCTAAAATTACGATTTGAGGAAAGTTCAGTAAGACTAATGTTTGCATACTCTGATACGTCATTGACCGTACTTTGTTATCCATGTAAGACTCACTTTGCATATACAGCAATCAAAACTATCTGGCTAAAGTGACCCGGCTGTCATTGTTCAGTGTGTCTCGTTTATTCCAATGTGTCAGCGTCAGAAGCCCTACCCTGCAGATACCTTAAAATCGGCAGTCTCCAATCGATCAGAATTACCACAAGCCTTCAAAGTGCATGAGGTGGCTTCAGTGTAGCTACCTTGAGTTGTTGTGGGATG